ATTTATTTGGTTATATATTATACATGTTTACTTAGCCTATTTCCAGTTTTGTATACCTATTTAAACTTTATGTAAGTTATTTGTTATTTTATATTAGGCATAGCCTGCCCTACAGCATGGTGTATTTTTATTTGTTTTGTTAATAAAAGTTCTTATGTTTTATATATAGGCTAAAGTGAGTTTGACGTTGTATTTTGTTGTTGCATTCAAGCAATTGATGCTGAACTGCCGCTAATTCGAAAGTGAAAGTCAAATGCTACGGCACTTTTAAGCTATTTAAAAGCGAAGGAAAGCGAGGAAAACAGGGAAAATTCAAACGAAATAAAAATGAACAATTGCTTTACGTTGAATTGCTGCTATTTGAAAGTGAATGTAAAATGCGCATGCCGCTTTTACAAGCTATTTAAAAGCGAAGGAAAGCGAGGAAAACAGGGAAAATTCAAACGAAATAAAAATGAACAATTGCTTTACGTTGAATTGCTGCTATTTGAAAGTGAATGTAAAATGCGCATGCCGCTTTTACAAGCTATTTAAAAGCGAAGGAAAGCGAGGAAAACAGGGAAAATTCAAACGAAATAAAAATGAACAATTGCTTTACGTTGAATTGCTGCTATTTGAAAGTGAATGCAGCGTGCCGAACGACAGTCGCATCACAGATCAGATTTCATTTCTCCAGTGAGGAGAGTGAGTCCAGCTGACTGACGAGAAGAGTGAGGCGAGACGGACAAGACGATCGCGGATGATTTAGTTTCGAAACGAGATGCAAAAGCTCCTGTTTGGCAGTATTTTGGCTTTTGTAAAGCCTGCTGATTTTGCGGTTTATCTAAGGTGATTTTGAAAGTTTTTTTTTTAAACATTCATTTCTTATTTAATTGGTTCCACATTGTTTGCTGATTTTTGCTTTATTTAAACTTTGTGTCATTTATTTATTTTATTTGACATCAAGGTGAATGCCGTGCCTCCAAGCTTTCTTACTCGTTTTGCTAATAAACGTTCTACGTTTCTTATTTATTTGGTTATATATTATACATGTTTACTTAGCCTATTTCCAGTTTTGTATACCTATTTAAACTTTATGTAAGTTATTTGTTATTTTATATTAGGCATAGCCTGCCCTACAGCATGGTGTATTTTTATTTGTTTTGTTAATAAAAGTTCTTATGTTTTATATATAGGCTAAAGTGAGTTTGACGTTGTATTTTGTTGTTGCATTCAAGCAATTGATGCTGAACTGCCGCTAATTCGAAAGTGAAAGTCAAATGCTACGGCACTTTTAAGCTATTTAAAAGCGAAGGAAAGCGAGGAAAACAGGGAAAATTCAAACGAAATAAAAATGAACAATTGCTTTACGTTGAATTGCTGCTATTTGAAAGTGAATGTAAAATGCGCATGCCGCTTTTACAAGCTATTTAAAAGCGAAGGAAAGCGAGGAACAGAGGGAATGCCCCCGCCTGCGGTGATACCGGTATTACCGGTGTTGTCACACGTCGATTAACCAGTGGGAAAATTTCCTCACCGTCACAACCCTACTAAAAAACAGGAGTCAAAAAACCAACAACTTTAAAACAGTGTGGCGACCCGTCCAGGTGTGAAAGAGCCATGTTTAGCCACTAGATGATTGTACTGTCAACACCTACATAATCCTCACAGTCAAACTGTCTCAGCCTGAATCTCAAATGAGTCTCAGACCTTCACAATCTGATATGTTTGCGCTATCGGCCTGAGGAGCCAGTGGAAGAAGCAGGAGTGGTAAAAAAAATGCTCAAGAGACTTTGACGGCTAACAGGATTAGTTGCCCTTGAGGATATACAGCAACCATTTGCTCCATTATGATGATTTTGAGTCTGTGTGTACCAGAAGAAGTTATGGTTTCTATGATCTTACAAACATTTTACACAATTAAAGACTTCTGCTGAAAGGCTTGAAATTGGTTTTTAGGCAAACATAAATTGTGCCTACATATGCATTTATTTATAAAACTAAACTACCATTCAAAAGTTTTTTTTATACAAGAGAAAAAGAAATTAATACTTTTATTCAGCAAAAATACATTAAATTGATCAAAAGTGACAGTAAAGACTTTTATAATGTTACAAAAGATTTCCGTTTCAAATAAATGCTGTTCTTTTGAACTTTCTATCCATCTGTGAATCCTGAAAAATAAAATGTATCACAGTTTCCACAAAAAATATTGGGCAGCACAACTGTTCTCAACATTGATAATAATCAGAAATGTTTCTTGAGCAGCAAATCAGCATATTATACTGATTTCTGAAGATCATGTGACACTGAAGACTGGAGGAATGATGCTGAAAATTCAGCTGCGCATCACAGCAATTAATTACATTTTTAACAGATATTCACAAAGAAATCAGTTCATATAAATTGTGATAATAATTAACAATATTGCTGTTTTTACTGAGACTTCTTTAAAAACATTCAAAAATCTTGCCGGCCCCAAACTTATATTGAACATTTTTTATGAATTAGTTGGAGCAGATCATCATGAAGCAGGAAAAGCATCATGAAGCGAGCAGTATGCATTTTTGTTTATATTGTTTAATAGCATCCCAGGATGCAGCTCGACTCTCTCCTAGTGAAAGTCTGTGGTTATAGAGCCACTATAGCAATTGCACAATTGCCTCAGTAAGAAGTGTGTGGTTTGTGCATGTGGATGGATTTTGAGAGCATGGCTTGTTTGTTTCTGTGCTTTATAAAGGCATCTCAGTTATAATGTCACATTCCATCAGTGTTGAAGAGGAAACACAGTAAAGCTCTAAAGGGGCAGTTCATTAAAGACATTCAGGCTAAATTATATTCAGTATTGATCAGCACTGATCATTTCCATCAGTCCTCTACGCTTCTGAATGCTGCTCGCGTTGATAAATTGCCCATTGACTGTTTTATTTTTCATCTCTATCTCTTCACAGATTTTCCGTCGAGCTGACAAAAACGGTGAGTCTGACCTTTTGCTATGTCACATTTAAAGTGTTTCTCTTGTTACTTTTGCACAGCGGTTCAATTGCAAGTCTTATTTCAAATTCAAATCAATGAAACGAAAAGCATTTTTCTTGCTTTCTGCTTAGTCACTGTAAATAAACCGTTTGCATAGTTATTCTGCAACAATATCCTGATGCACTGGTTGACAATCTCTCTGGGTGTGCATACATTTGAATAAATGAGTTCAACATTGTCTCAGATGTTTCTCCTAAAAAGGAGACATTAGACACAATGACACAAATGAGCCAATAAAATTAATGCAAATAGCAGCTCAGATCATTTAATCATGGAAGAATATGATGAGAAATGTTTGAGATCTCAACATTTACATTCATGCATTTGGTTGAGTTTTAGAGCTGTCAAATGATACATTTGATCAAATTCATGCATTCCCTGTAAATCGAACCTTCAATGGGTACTTATTATGCAAAATGCACTTTTATATTGTTTTTAAACATTGTTAAGTGTGTGTACGCAACCAAATAAATCCATCCACTTTTGTTATTTTCCTCATAAATCAGTAACAGTGTCTCAAAGCTGTTCAAGAATGTGACGTCATTCCGGAACAGGCCCCTTCCACGACTGGTAACGATGGCTGTGTCCAAAATTGCATACTTCCCTACTATATAGTAGGCGAAAAACACTGTGTCACAAAAGATGTATGTCTGAATTCACAGTACTCAAAACAAGAGTAGGCAAAAAGTACCAGGATGACCTACTACTTCCGGAGTGAATTTCTGAAATGTGCATATGATGGACAATTAACAATCGCATAAGGCCACAGGAGAGCATTTATGAATGGCAGTGACGCAACGCAACTGAAGCTGATAGGTCACAATAGGCAATATGGTGCATACAGTAAATCCATATTACAGTATGCGAGTATGCAATTTCGAACAAAGCCTATCTCTGCCTTATATTACCTTAGCTCCTCCCCTGAGTGAGCTGTACATGCTTATCTCCTCGCTAGAGCATTTAAAATCAGTGTTCAAGCAAGAAATGTATTCTTGTAAAGCTACTTAAGTTATTCAGTCAAGAAAAGAGAGTCATTTTCTGTTTTTCTTTTCTTGTTTGATTGATATCAGCATAGACAGCAGTAGATACTTATATTACGCTGCTGTCGTTTTAACACACAGATCTAATATAAACATTTGATTTCTTTCCTGGTTTACATTCACAGACATAGATGACTTTGTGTTTTTGACTTAATTTTTTATGTATTTGACAGTTTAAGCACCATAATAAAAAATATAACGCCAAAGAGAACTTCGTTTAGTACTCACATGACACACCATGTTACAGCCAGCTTTCTGTGCAATCATTTCAGACATGTGCGCTCAGAAAACAGTATATAAGAAGTTTAAACTGCTATGGCTTTAAAACCATGCAAATAATAAACTTTCATGATGTCAAACAAACTGCAATGTCATGTGCGCATGACATAATAATGATCAAAACCAAACAGATGTTTTGTTTTGGTGGAGTATCCAAGGCATGAGCAGTAAAGGCTCCACCCTCGTCTGGAAAAGGGGGCGGGGAGCAGCAGCTCATTTGCATTTAAAGAGACATGCACAAAAACAGCATGTTTTCGCTTCTGTTAAAAATGGTCATTTTCAGTATGGTATAATAAGTTATCTGTGGGGTATTTTGAGCTGAAACTTCACAGACACATTCTGGGGACACCTGAGACTTATATTACATCTTTTAAAAAGGGGCATAATAATGGTGTCTCTCTTTAAATGGGTAGTTTACCCAAAAATAATAATTTACTTTCATTTATAAAAGAAGACATTTTGAAAAATGCTGGTAATCAAACAATTGATGGTCCCCATTGACTTCCGTAGTATTATTTTCCCTACTGCGGACCAACAACTGTTTGGTTCTTCAAACTTCTTCAAAATATCTTCTTTTATGTTCAACATAAGAAATGCAATCATTTCAGACATGTGCGCTCAGAAAACAGTATATAAGAAGTTTAAACTGCTATGGCTTTAAAACCATGCAAATAATAAACTTTCATGATGTCAAACAAACTGCAATGTCATGTGCGCATGACATAATAATGATCAAAACCAAACAGATGTTTTGTTTTGGTGGAGTATCCAAGGCATGAGCAGTAAAGGCTCCACCCTCGTCTGGAAAAGGGGGCGGGGAGCAGCAGCTCATTTGCATTTAAAGAGACATGCACAAAAACAGCATGTTTTCGCTTCTGTTAAAAATGGTCATTTTCAGTATGGTATAATAAATTATCTGTGGGGTATTTTGAGCTGAAACTTCACAGACACATTCTGGGGACACCTGAGACTTATATTACATCTTTTAAAAAGGGGCATAATAATGGTGTCTCTCTTTAAATGGGTAGTTTACCCAAAAATAATAATTTACTTTCATTTATAAAAGAAGACATTTTGAAAAATGCTGGTAATCAAACAATTGATGGTCCCCATTGACTTCCGTAGTATTATTTTCCCTACTGCGGACCAACAACTGTTTGGTTCTTCAAACTTCTTCAAAATATCTTCTTTTATGTTCAACATAAGAAACAAACGACATGAGGGTGAGTAAATTATTTTTAAAAAATCACTTTTTGGGTGAACTCTTGCTGTTGTTAGTGGAACACAAACAGATCTTCTTCAGACTTTTGATTGCTTCTCAAACTTGAGCACAGTTTGAGACACTGTTGAGATCTTTATTTGCCTCTCAGTTAATCTTATTGCTGTCTAGAATACAATTGCGATGCTAATCAGGTCACACCTTTCTTTCCTATGAGTGCTGACGAGAATTTGCTTTGTAATTTCTGGGAATGCTAATACAGGCGGTTGCAAAAAAGTTTTCATTTTTATTCATAATGCATAATGTCTGTTTGATGAGTTTGAAGCCTGAGAGTAATCGGAGTCCCTCAGGCACATGTGCGGGTGGCCCGTTGCTTAATCTGAGCCGGAGCCAATGACCAGCCTGTCACGAAATGCCTGTTTATTCTTCAAAGGCCTGTAATGCACGAGGATGGCGAGGGCGAAATGAACAGAACGACGCACTGTCCAAACAAATCAGAACTGAGTGGCTGTCACTGGGGCAGCACAGTCCTTTCAGAGGTCATTACCATTGTTCCAGAATGCCAGTTACCTTCTTGCCACTTCAATCATGCTCTCATCATGGCCAAGGATGGAGAGAAACCGAAAGAGAAGTGGAGTGCGAGAATATAAGAGCGCCAGAGAGAGAGAAAGTGAAAGAGCTGCGTTTGTGCTGTGAAAAAGGCATAATTAGTGGGCTTTGCTAAGGCTGCATCAATATTACTACTGCTCATAGTGAGTTCAAACAGACCTCTGACATTACATGATGTTATCCTTGCCATTTTACTTGCTCAAAATGCGCAAAAAGAGGTGGAAAAAAACACAGATGTACATTGAAGGAGGGAGCTGAAACCAGAATATCAGAGAGTTAAGAATGGACCACCTATCAACCAATCAGAACACCTTAGTGACCACCTTGATGACCCTAGCAACCACTTAGGACAGCATAGCAACTACCTAGAACATCATTGGAACCACCTATGACACTAGAGCAACCACCCACAACACCCTAGAAACCACCTAGGGCATCCTAGCAACCCCCTACAACACCCTAGAAACCGCCTAGGGCATCCTAGCAACACCCTAGCAACCACCCACAACACCCTAGAAACCACCTAGGGCATCCTAGCAACCCCCTACAACACCCTAGAAACCGCCTAGGGCATCCTAGCAACACCCTAGCAACCACCCACAACACCCTAGAAACCACCTAGGGCATCCTAGCAACCACCTACAACACCCTAGAAACCGCCTAGGGCATCCTAGCAACCACCTACAACACCCTAGAAACCACCCAGGTCATCCGAGCAACACCCTAGAAGCCACCTATATGACATCCTAGCAACCACCTGCAACACCGTAGAAACTACCTATGACATCCTAGCAACCGCCTACAACACCCTAGAAACCACCTAGAGCATCCTAGCAACACTCTAGAAACCACCTATGACACCATAGCAACACTCTAGAAACCACCTATGACACCATAGCAACCATCTACGACATCCTAGCAACCGCCTACAACACCCTGGAAACCACCTAGAGCATCCTAGCAACACGCTAGAAACCACCTATGACACCATAGCAACACTCTAGAAACCACCTATGACACCATAGCAACCATCTACGACACCATAGCAACTGCCCACAACACCCTGGAAACCACCTATGACATCCTAGCAACTATCTAGGACACCATAGCAATCACCCACAGTACCCTAGAAACCACATGTGACACCATAGCAACTGCTCACAACACCCTAGCAACCACTTACACATCCTAACAACAATCTAAATATTTTTAAATGTTTCCCAAGTTGAGTTTTGTTCGATCAGCCACTGATGGATCAGAAAGCGTCGATGCAGTGAGCTGCGGTTGCTAAGTAGAGCACTGCGTTAGACGAATGGGAAATAAAAACTGAGTTTGGCTGCTATTCTCCTCTTGAGAATAAACTGAGCTTTTAGTCAAGCTATAGCTCTCCTGTGAGGATTTCCAGCTCAGCGACTTGAAGGGAGATTATTTAAAGATTAGAAGCTGAGTTCAAACCAGCCCGTCCTGCTCACACTAACCTAGTTAATGAACTCTCTCCCACAGGCCTGTGATACCGAGATGATGATGAGGGGATTATTGCCAGTTCTTTCTAAAGCCAACTTTTCTGGGTTGTGGTTGTTAAACTTTGAAATTTCACTTTGAGGAAGGGATTATACTGATTAGGGCTGCGTAATTAAGTTTAGAGTATTAATTAAATATGTTCATTCAAGGCATTTAATTTGTACATGAATGTGAAATACCACCTATAAGCATTTGTTCTGCTTTCTGTCCTAAGAAGATATGCTGTTCACAACCCATTTTACTTCCATAATCACGTTAAATGCAAAAAATAA